TTAATTTGAGAGCCGGTAATTTAAAAATTTAACTAAGACTTATAAAAAAGCACATGATAACAATATGAATATGGTAGACAGTACCAACAGAACTAATAAAATTATTACTGAAAAATTAAAAATAAGTGATAGGGTAGGCAAACTGGCTGAAAAGGAATGCTACATCACTCTTAAGGACCACAAATGAGATTTTGAGGAAGACCCCACTACCAGAATGATAAACCCAACCAGACCCGACATAGGAAAGATTAGCAAAAGAATCCTAGAAAGGATCCCTAGGCAAATCAAAAAATGCCTTGGATTAACACTCTGGATTAATACTAAAGACCTCATCAATTGGTTTACCAACATTGACAATAAACCTGACTGCACCCTAATATAGTTCGATATTGTAGATTATTATCAGTCAATATCAAATGACCTCTTCATGACTACCCTGGAGTTTGTTACAGTATATTCTGACTTAACTAAGGAAGAAATGAACATAATTCTTAGTGCAAAAAAATCGGTCCTCATCCATAACGGGGACCAATGGATTAAAAACACTAATGATAATTTTGACATCACTATGGGATCTTTAGACTCTGCAGAGTCTTCTGACCTTGTTGGTCTATTTATACTGTACAATCTAACTGTGCACCGTGAATTAGACATTAAGGACATCGGGCTATACAGAGATGACAGGCTCATGGTAGTGAGGAGCTCCACAAATTTTAAAATAGATAAAATTAGAAAGATAATATACAGTGAATTCAGAAAACTAAATTTAAAAGCTATAGTCAACACTAAATTAAAAAGGGTAAACTTCCTCAACATAACTCTAGACTTAATGAACAACATATACCTACCTTACAGAAAATCTAACACTAATCCCGTGTATGTACACCCTAAGTCAAACCACGCTCCATCTATAATTAAGCATATACCCACATCAATAGAGAAAAGAATCAGCATGAACTCCGCTAATAAGGAAATATTCTGACAACATAGTAATTTTTATAACACAGCCCTAAAAAATAGCCAATACAAAAACACTAACATAAGTTATAGAAACAATAACAGAAAGAAAAACAGGAAAAGGAAAATCATTTGGTATACCCCTCCGTTCAACCAAATGGTTAGTACTAAGCTAGGACATAATTTCCGAGCTTTAATTGAAAAACACCTCCCTACTAAAAGCAGACTTAGTGAGTGCTTTAATAAAAACACCTTAAAATTAAGTTACAGTTGCACTGAAAATCTACAAAGAATCATAAAAAACCATAATAATAAAATCCTGGCAACACGTGCACGCCAAAACAGTATTAATAAAAATCCTAAACTAAAATCAGACAAAAATAATGAAAAATTATGTGATTGTAGAAACCCTGAAGACTGCCCATTGGAAAATAAATGCCTCATAAAATCCGTAGTATACCAATGCCCTATCTCATCCATTGAGAGTCCTAACACTGATAAAATATACTTTGAGTCAACGAAGAAAAGCTCCTTCAATAATATTAGAAGTAGAAATAAAACATCTCTATCCAAATATTTTTGAGATTTAAAAGAAATGAATAAAACACCAAAAGTAAAATGGAAAATAATAAATAGAACAAGAACTTGTAAAACCTGGGATGACCCATGCCCTTTATGCCTACATGAAAAACTACACATTATTAAGTTTCTAAATAATGAAAATTTATTAAACCATAGACATGAGTTAATGGTTTTTTGCCAACATCAACAAAATTTCACATTAAATAATTAGCATAAAAACAAAAAAAAAAAAAAATCAAATTTCATAGTTTAATAAAGGGCTAAAAAGCTTAACCCAATCATTAAAGGGAAAAACCTTCTATGAAGTCATTAAAAAAACAAATTGTAGTTCAGTGCGAAGCATTTATATATGAAACAGCCTGTTGAAAATAAATAAATAAATAAACAAATAAAATAAACAAAATTATCCAGACACTTAACAACATACTATGGTGCCAAAATCTATCTTCCTCTGTGAGTGAACAGACGATGCGTGTACAAGAAAGACATAATTCGCTTTGAAATAGACACCCCACCCTACCTCACCTCTCCCTGAAGGTGACTGATATGTGGATAAAAATGGTCGCCCCCCAACTGTTTCCATAGTAACGAATGAACATGCTTATAACAATACGTAAATTTCAAAATTGGTTATTCCTAAATTTTTGCTTGAGGATGAAACAGGACTTGTTACTTTAATTCAATTTAATTTTAATAATTATATTGATGGTTTATACTCTCGTTTTTGAAACATGAGAACTCTTATGTAGCGAAGGAATCATATCTTTTTAAATAATTATATATATATATATATATATATATATATATATATATATATATATATATATATATATATATGTATATATATATATATATATATATATATATATATATATGGTGGTCTGACAATTGCATCTAGTATGGAAACAGCCTGTCACCGCTAAATGTTAACTTCAATGTTCACTTTTTATTTACACATGCTCTATATCTGATATTGACCACTTTATCCCATAAATATAGCACACCTTAAGACTATATTTCTTCATATATATATATATATATATATATATATATATATATATATATATATATATATATATGAATAAACATAATTTTCATATAATTAATTGTACAAAAGATGCATAATAAATAAATATACATAGAAAACAGAAAAAAATGATTTAATAGGAATAAATCCTATTTATCCATTTTAATGGTTGAAAAAGTATTTGTACAATACAAAAAAGAATACATAATCTTCATTTAATACTTTGTAAAATAGCTATTATTCACTTCTATAGCAACCAACCTCTCCTTGTAGTTCTCAATGAATTATTTCCAAATTTTAGTTGGTGTTTTGCTCCATTCTTCTTTGCATATGGCCTTCAGGTCAGGGGTGTTTGTTGAAGATCTTGATTGTTTTTGAATTTTCAAATAACAACACAAATTCTCAATTGGGTTTAAATCTGGAGACTGACTTGGTCATTTCAGGATATAATATTTATGTTGGCCACACTACAACATTGTTTTGGCAGTTGAGTATTCATTAGAATGATGTGTCCAACATTTCTAAACATTTACAACAGCATGCCTGTCCACATTCACAATTCAGAAAAATTCTTGTTGAAAATACATCTATACTTTTTCATGAAAATAATAAACATAAACTAAAAATTCTTGTAGCTATGTATATTAAAAAATTGAAATCAGACCTTAATAAAATTAACTATAAATACTGAACAAAGGCTTTAAAATATTTACAATAGATAGTTTAAAATATTGAGGTTTGTACTAATAGTTTTATTAGTTATTCCTTAAAATCTCTCGAGAATATCATAGTTACCTCCCCAAAGCATTAGTCAAGACAATCACAGTACACAGCATTCTTCACAAGTAAAAAAAATTGTTAACTTTCAGATGAACACAGCAATTTTGTCTTTGAAAATGATGACCACTACAATATTTGTCTCAAAATAAACAACACCCTGATGATGACATTGTGCTATGTTGAAAGTACTCGGAATAAAATAATGTGAATTAACATGGTATTCCTTTAATAATGACACCAAAAGGATCCAATTGAAAATAAGTAGACAAAACTTGTCTAAATTATTCACTGAAACATGGCTCAATGAAAACATACTGTCAGAATATATATATATATATATATATATATATATATATATATATATATATATAATTATGAAAATAGAGGCTCACAAGCCCATGGTGATATTTATTCATTAGAATTGAAAAATGTGATTCCAAATCTTCAGACCAAAGCCATTACACACAAAACAATGAAATAAATATCACCATGAGGTTGTGAGTCTTCGTTTTCATAATTAATTATTATTTGCTCTGTTTTTTTTTTCGCATAGAGCTCTCTGGATTTATATCCTCTTTGAAATTATCCAAATGGATTACCAAATATTATTCCTCATAGCATTTCATATAACATGGTCCACAATAGCCAAACACCATCAACACTAATGTTAGCTGATAGGTCATCAATTAAAACATGCCCAACAAATTTTAAGTAATGCCACCTATATTTTTAAGAATTACTGATAGAAATTGCTCTTCTGCAATTAATGACCCGTCTTCTGATGACCATAACATCAATGGAGGTGTCACCCAGATGCTCTCTCCTCAGTCTTACCCTCTCCCTGCTTTATATTAACAATCTGCCCCAGGATATACTTAAATCATTAGTAAATATCTATGCAGATGCCAAGATCAGAGTCTGGCAACTGTTCTCTCCTGATAAAGACTTAACAGCTCAATGGAGAGAGAAAAAAATCTAGTTTATAGTGATTTTCGAAGTGCAGCTTAGATGTGGCGCAAGGTCAAAAAGTATGGAGCACCCATTGAACTCATTCATAACTGGTATACTTTTTAACATTCAATACAGCCAAAACAAACCTATCAATATTCCATCATCACCAATCAGAGCCTGAATTTTCTTATGATGAATGGTCTTGCTCTCAATAAGGCTCCTTGACTTGAATTTCTATTGCGACTCAATTCATCACCAAATCAAGTAGAGCTCATGATCCATTACTAAAATGATGGAGAAAAAAGAGAGTGGGTCTAGTTCTTGTGCCACCCCAGAAAGTATCAGACACCTCCTGCTATGCTCTCCTTTTTGCAAGAGTCAGATCAAACCAAAATGAAATAACGATACTAGCTTTGTACTGTTTTTTATCTCTTGTCATGTGATACATTTGCACAGCATTGTCATTTCAGGGGTGAAACAAGCCCCCCCCCCAAAAAAAAACAAAGACAACAACAAATAAAGAACAAATATAAATGAACCTTTGATTTTCAGGGTTTACATACCATTGTATCCATGGATACAATGGTATGTAAACCAATGCAGAACATTACAAAAGACTGAAATATGTATTGTGTCCTGTAAACATTCATCTTGGTACATTTACAGCTGCAGTTACATAAATAAAAAGTTCTTAATTACTTAC